TTCTGATTAGCTGATTTACACTTTTCCTCTACTATATAAATTCATCAAATGTCGAATTTATTATATAGTTACTTATCAACAACAGGTCAAGGGTTTGTTCAATAAGTATGATCTTAAGTGTTATACAAATATGAATATTGAAACTAAAAAAGCTAACTTTTGTCTTTCAAGCATCAAGCAAGTTTCTTTCTCTAAAAAAGAATTAGTGTTACAAAAAAAAATAAAAGAACCTTAAATGAGAGAGATAATAAAAAACAAGATAATGAAAAACAGGAAACATTTGGTGAAATAGAAGCTAATATACTGTTCAAGAACTTGTTCAATAAATAAAGAAAATAATAAGTGAAAGTTAAATTTAACATTAATGTTAATGAGTTGTTTGATAAATAAAAAAAATAATAAGTTAGTTAATTTTCTGAAATTTCCAAAATTATTTTAAAAACTAGTAAAAATTCTTACATATGTACCCGACTATAATTTGATTTACCTATTGTTTTGAACACCCCAATGTTACGATTATAAACCAACATCATTTTTTTATAATAAAAAATGATGTTGGATTATAATCGTAACATGTACTAGCTGATTGATTAAGTCTAATCAAGTATTGTAAAATAATTTTTTTATATGTTTCACACAGTGTAAAAATTGGCTGTGTAGCATCAACATTTCCTCCTACTAAATAATGCAGCAAAAAAAAAGATTTGGTTAGATTGTATTATTTCACTCAATTTTTGGTGTTTTTTTTATTTTACTTGTAAATAGTACCTTTTTCTGATATTAAAATTTGATAAGCAGGCATGTATCACAAATCACATGCTACATTATTTTTAATTGTTTTTTGATTGTTTTTTGATCATTTTTTACAACAATCAGATGATTGCTACATGTTGCCATTGCTGCATTGTTAAAGGGTTATAATTAACTTCAGATTTAAGTATTAATTTAAAAAATAATTGTTTATTATATTGTATTTGCTTAAAGTTTAAAAAATGTAACTTATTTTAATGAATAAGTTTTTTAAAACTTTGATCAAATTTGATAAATTTTGTTATGTTTTAATAAACCTTTAATTTATATATTATATTTTTTATAATATTTATTATTGTAATCTTTGAAGTTTTTAATAATCTAGAATAATAATAATTTATAAAAATTATTAAAAATATATATATATCATGGGGTTAAGCGATACTAGCAGTTTAGCACTGAAATTTAACCAGATATGAATCTAATGAACACTCACTTATTTATTTATTAAAATGTTATTGACGATAATATTGGTTATTCTCTTTATTCAAAATATGCAAAGCTCTAACTAAACTAAACTATTCTAAGCTAATAATAATCTCTAGATCGTTCTCTTTATATTTCTTATTTATATCTTTACATTCAACACTCTAATAATAACGCTATTACTAATTATATGGGTAATAGTTTTTGAAATCGGACCAATTATGTAATCAATTACATATCTATCACTAACGTATCAGTATTAATAATTTTTATTTATAAAAAAAAAATCTTTTAATTTTTTTTTTTATCCAAATAAGGATTTTCTATTGCGCTAGTACAAAATCATTATGCCTAATGAAAAAATAAATCAAATAATTAATAACGTTAAAATTATACATACTAATGCAAACCTAAAAAATAAATCAAACGTACTTTCTTTATTAGCAAAAATTTTAAGTCGATCAAAGCTTAAAGATCTTGGATTTCAATTTAGCAATGATCAATTTAGAACTGCTATTCAAAAAGCCAATGAGTCATCATTTTTATTAACTAATTATCAATGGTTTATACCACTATTACAGGCAGCTATTGATGAAACTACAAAGCAACTTATTATTGAATTTCTTCACAATAATTCACAAAGATCATCACATACAAGACGCAAGCAAAATTCTGATATAACTGAAATATATTTCTTAGAAAAACCAAAATGTGATATCTATTTTGAATTAAAATCACAATACCCAAATATAAAACTTAGTTTAAATTCATTTTACAAGCTATGCCCAAAAAAATTTAAAAAAGCTCAAAAAAAAACTGACATGTGCCAAATATGCATTAAAGGACAACAAGCTGAACGGAAATTACAACAACTTATCCGGCAAACTCATATGATCATGAAAAAATTTCTTCTTGTTATTTTTTTCATGTGTTACGATATAATTATG